AAGAAGAAGAAGAAGAGCCTGTAACTTTCTCTCTCTCAAACGATTTTGGCCAAGCCATTGGGTCGAAGACTTCTGTCTTTCACCTTTTTGGCCTTTTTTTATACTTGGCCCTTAAGTGTGTCAAGTGTCATCTTTCTATTGGTTGTAAATCTCCAATACCCAATTAAATTGCGTCATGTGTCATAGTGAACAAGATTAGTTGAATGGCCTTTTAATTATATTGTGGGTCTAGTGAATAAATTTTAATTACTAGAATTTTAATCAGGTAACCCCGATTTACCTTGTAAAGCGTGAAAATCCCCGTTATCTCGGAGTTCAACGAAAATTGAATGTCCTACTCGATTTCGCAAGATGAATCCAATGGTAAAGTCTGTTTCTTCATTCGAGTTACTTAAAAATTTCATGGTATGTTTGGTAACGTTTTTGTTTTCATGTTTTCAAAAAGATAAAAAACAGAATCAATGTTTTATTATTATTATTTTTTTTTGTGGCTAAAAGTTGAAACAAAAAACGTGTTTGGATGTAGTTGTTGTTTTATGAAATCTAAAACCTAAAACAGAAAATATAAGAATCAAAAACATTACAAGAAACAAATGTTGCAAACAGTTTAACATCACACCCTATTGGCTTTAATCCTTCAAAATGCCAAATTACCAATAGTGTAACACCAATAGTCTTCCACTTTCAGGGACTTGAGGTCTAAATACCCAAGTCTGCATTTTCAAAACAGAACAATAGCATGAGCAGACAAACGCCCTTCATCAAAAACTAGCCTACACCTCTCCTTCCAAATTAACAAGTAAACTCCCAACGTCATTCCCCTCATTAAAGAATTATATAAAGAAGGCTTCTTAAGAAGTCTCCCCAGCCTCACCATTCTAACTATTGGGGTCTCACTTTCAAACAACTAAAACCCACATAAAACAAACAGTTTAGACCAAACTAAAGATGAAAAACTGCACTGCACAAACAAATGAACACCTGATTCCCCTTCAACACAGCACAAAGAACATCTATTGGCCAAACTTACCCCAATAGATTGGAACTTAGAATCCAATGACACAACATTCCTAAAATCTCCTGCCTTAATTGGTCAGGGATCAAGCTACCAAAGATTATCCACAAAAACCTCTGAAAGCATAGGAAAAGAGTTAGGCACTCCAAAAACCCTTAGCAACAAAGGACCAGAACCCAGTTAGTTGGAACACTAAAAATCCATAAAGCTTCCATTACCCACCATACTTTCATAATTCATCACCCCCAATCCAAACTAGGGTTATAACATTCTAAAACATTTAACTTTCTTAGGATTAGCTATTCTCAACATATACCAATGCATATATTAACTCATAAAATAGTGCATAATACATCAACCCAAAATAAAAGTTGTTAAACATCCAACGTATCACTACATAAAGATATTGTTAATATTCTACCAATTACACAAATACACCATAATTACTTCACTAAAATCCCAATAAGTAATACAAATATCAAGAACAGTAATGCACAACACACAATGAAATTGCATCCACACAATAAGCATAAAAAGTGTGATCCATTTCTTCTCTAATTCCAAAATTGGCATGTGGGATCACAATTTATGATTCATCTCTGTGTGTATCGTACTCATCAACCCAAATAAAACAATCAGCATGATCACGCCATCTTGGACAACAATAAAAAAGGCGACTGTTGTTTCTTTTTGTCGGCGCGACGAAAACTTTCATATTACCATATCCACATGAACATGGAGGTCTAATTGGTGCCATTATATGATTCATGTTTCAACAACATTAATTACGACAAATTAGACATAATAATTTGTTTAATATAATATTGGAAGTTAAGAAAAAGTATAATGTCATTCTAAGCAAGACATATATTAATGATGAGTTGATGCCCACAATTGATCTGCAATGCCATCTCTAACATGAGCCATTTTTCACGCAACTGACTTGACGTTATATCTATTTCAATTGGTGCTCGTGAACTAGATCTTGCACCACCTCTACCATCATCAACATCCTCCCTTCGTTCAAAGTCAATAAATAACTGATCTTGTGGAGAATGACTTCTAATGAAGTTATAGATTATACAACAAGCTATGGGTAGATATTTTTATGTGGTTATGGGATAAGGTGATATTAATTTGAGAATGAGAATACGAGCCTTCAAAACTCCAAAGCAACGTTCAATTACTTTTCAAAGTGATGAGTGACGGTAATTGAACAACTCCTCTTTGTCAGTTAATTGTCGACCCCTACCTCTATAATCACGTAAGTGATATCTCTCACCGCGGTAAGGGGACAAAAAACTTGGCATGTTTGTATAACCCGAATCTACAACATAGTATTTATCTAAAAAGAATATATATCATAGTAAGACAAAGTATTGGATTTGTACAAATTACTTATCTGAAATACGTGGATAAATTTACCTCCTGACGGTATTGAAAACTTGTTTGCTGGATTGGTGACATGCTCTATAAAAACTCTTGAATCATGTGTTGTACCTTCCCAACCACTCAACACAAATGTAAAGCGCATGTCAAATGAACATGCACATATAATGTTATGAGTTGGTACAGTTTGCTTTTTACGGTATGATACTTGTTGGTCTACTGGAATACGTGCATTAACATGGGTACCATCAATTGCGCCAACACAATTCTAGCATGACAAATATATATCCCAAATGTCATCAATTGCATCAAAACAAATATTTTGTAATTCATATGAAGATACAATAATACTTTCAATTACCTTAAAAAATGTATAATATTGGGGATTGAATTTGATATGTGGCTGAATGACTTCAAAATTCGGGGGGTGTATGAGATCCATTCCAAGCCTACAAACTGCCTTCAACACACGCTTGAAATATTTGGAGATTGTTTCACCCGAATGTTGAAACCTTTCAGCGACTATGCGATTTTATTCATTGTGGCATATAGTGAGCATAAATATAGCAACTTGCTCTTGAACAGTGAGATATCTAGAATGATGTAATCCTCTATTTTTTAGCTCTTCGCAAACAAGACAAAGACTGGTGGATCCATTTAAATTGGTTGAAACACCTATTTTCATGGCCATTAATTAATTCCAATACATAATCATGGCCCCTAAGTTTAGATGTTCTACATGGACGTGGTCCTGAATTTTGACAAGAATAACGATCAACTGCTATTTCAGTGATAACAATACCCATCTCATCATCACTATCAAATATCAATTTCTCATCTAAATTCATTAGTGTCCAAGCACCTATAGCACATAATAAGCATAAGTATGCAAAAACATCCATGTCATTAAACTTACAAAAACATCCATGCCGTTAAACTTACAAAAAACATCTGTGCCGTTAAACTTACACAAACATCACAACTTTTAAACATAAGACAAAAAAATGCACAAACATCTGTGACAGTCATAAAGCAACAAACATCCCAACGTTCTACAGTTAAATACAAATACATATCTAAATACGTAAAAAATAATCATAAACATCACAGGTGCATAACCCAATCCCGCTTCATATGGTCCAACATAGCCAGGAATAGCTTCCTCCAAGTCATACCCTCGCTAAATTTTGTTATGGCTTTTGAATAGCAGTCACCATCAATGTCCTCCATAACATTCAAAGCACTTAAACATTCATCTACCAAATCATCTTATTGGCATTAACCTCACTATCCCCATACGAAGATGTTGCCCCGTTGACTGTGACATCTTGTACTCTAAATACTAATTATTTTTTCTTTGACTTTCCAACCAACACATTAAGGGCAACTGTAAGACCAACTATAGCACTATTTTTCTTCCTACGATGACTGCATGTTGGAGTGGTAGACCTACTACGAGAACGATTGGATGACCTTTTAGCATTTTCATTGTCATCGCCTTTATCAACCTCATTTGTAGGATAAAAAATTGGGTTTTTCTCTTCCTCGCTGTCAGATGGAGGTAGGGTTGAAGGGTGAGCATGTTCACCAGTTGAACTTGTCTTACCAAAAATTCTACCAAGCTTGTTAAAATACCGACAACCCTTTTTCTTGAATTGTCTAGCATGTTTATTCACCTAGCAGACATGAAGACTAATGAATACTAAAACTTTGACAAATATATACATAATAATGATTGAGAGTTTTAAAAATAATTGGCTACCTTGCACAAATTCTCCCAGACGTTATCAAGTAAAGTAATTGTTTGTCTCTTTGGTTCCCATCCTACTCCAGTTGTTTCATTCAATAACTTCTTAAATGCATTGTACGTTATTCTCAAATTATTGTATTTGTTTCGCAGCTACTCAAAGTTGTAATTATATCTCGTCTTGACGCTTAGTTGCACTAAGATTTTGTTCCAGACATCCCTTTCAATTGTCGATGTGTCTTTAGGACGACGTGGTACTACTAAATCCATCAAGTCAATAAAATTGACCTCATTTTTAGACATTCATGGCCCATCACCTTTCTTAGCCCCAATCTCAACAACATCGTCATCCTTATTTTTCATCTACATAACAAACAAATCCAAACTTTCATAAAAAACTCTCACACTTAAACCACCCTCTCAAATCACAATTACTTATATATAAACATAAGCACATAACATGTTAAAACAATTCATAATTCATACTTGAATTGAAAAAGAGTCCTACTTTTAACCATGACATATATAGTAATATTTCAATCAAAAAAACCAAACTTTGTAATTGTTGTTATTGAAAAGATCAACCCCCAAAGACAATAGAAGAAATTATAGATAAAAGTTGTGAACATAAATCACTAATGCAGCTAAATTATGGATCTAAAAAAATAAGCCCTAAAGTGATGTTCATGAGTAGTATAAATATTCCATCGATATGCGGTGACAGTAATATCTTCATCTAAGGTATCCAAAAAAACATCAATAGGCTTGTTAACAAACTCGAACATTCACAATTTTCTTGAAATAAATGTAACTGGCATATTTTTCTTTTTGAGTTCCATACATATAACAATGATACCATCCTTACAGGTTGTTTTAGGTTGGATGACTGTTGTCATAGAGGCAGAGGAAGAGAAGGTTCTTAGTGATGATTCAACTTCTTCAGAGGAAGTGTCAAGAGTTGAGGATTCTTTTGTTGGTGTTGGGGATTTCTTTGGCAAGCATTGGAAGGAATCTGATGCAAAGAGTACCAAGGAATTTTCTGGAAATGTGTCTACAGCTGGAAAATGCCTATCCCTATCTTGCTTGCCAAACAAATCTTCCCATGGTGAGGTTGAAAATTCTAGGAATCAGAAAGATAGGTTTTCAGGGGTTGAGGGATCTGTTAATAGATCCCAAAGACACAATGCAACCTCCCCCCAAACGAACCAGATGCACCGCCTCCTAAATGAACCAAATGCATACACACATAGTTGCACACCACCTATTAGACGCGCTCACACACACAGATGCATACACAGAGAGAGAGATGTTAAAATAAACAATAATATAACCTATATCTAAACTAAAGGAGTATAGATCTGCAAAAATAAACCCTAAATTTGAAACAAAAATCATTAGATTTGAAAAAAAAAATCAAAGTGGAGACACAAGAAGAGAGAGAGAGCTTACAGTTTCACCAGAGAGATTACAACTTCACCAGAGACACAACAGAGGCAACGACCAGCGAGCAGAGGAGACGAACTAGTGAGCAGAGGCGACGACCTAGCGATTCCTTTGCGATGACCAACGACCAGACCACTATAGATAAGTGAACTGTTCATGCCCTTTTATATTATAAGGAAAAAAATGAATGTTTTTCTATTAAGAGGGTTTAAAGTCGAGACCTCATTAATTGGGTGAGGAGCCTTCCTCTTTGTTTTGTTTTTTAGATGTTTTCAAAAACATCATTTTGGATGTTTCCAAATTTTGTCATTGTTTTTAAAACATAGCAGTAAAAAAAACGAAAACATTCATCAAACATGTTTTTTTTTTCCTAAAAAATGAAAAAGAAAACAAAAAAAAATGAAAACTTTGTGTTACCAAACACTACCTTATGTTTTTAACCTTGCTTAAAATGATTTAATTACCGTATTACCCATTTAATTGATTTATTAAATTTTTCAGGTTTTTATATCTTGGCTGCTCTAACAGCATATAGAGCGGTACTCGAGCGGTACCTTCTCAACTCGACTGGTTTGATTCGTTTTTCTCATTTTAGTGATGAACACCGTTTGACCACTCTCTAATGGCTCGACTGTCCATCTCGAATTTCAATTTTCTTAGGCTCTAAAATTAATCTAGTTACGGGGCTATAAAGAGGACAAGCCTTTTTAACCTAGGGTAACTCTCATAGTTGCCTCTTACATCATATAGGGAGCCAAGAACAAACCCTAGATCCCTAAGATCCAAAAAGGTCATTATACTTTGATCCAAACCTTGAATTCAAAGAAGAAAAGAAGATCCAATGGAGAACCACCACACCCAACATTGGATTGTATGCATATCAAGAATCTTGGGAAGGAGTCCTTGAAGATTACTCAAGACCTAGATGGATCTTCACGTTTGATCTATTCAAGTGAAGCTAGTTCTCTGGACCTCACGGTGGGATAATCCAGATGGATAGATTTAAGGGAAAAAAACATCTAGTCATGGGTGTAGTGGTTGATGTATAAGACTTTACCCTTGTAATCAACTTTAGATAACAAATTAGGTTAGGTGAACCGAGATTAGTTTTGTGGTTTTCCCGAGGGGGTTTTCACATTAAATTGTTCGTGTTGTGGTTTGATATTTAGCGCACACACCTGCTTGCAATCGCACATACTCACCATGCGTTTGATGAGTGGATTCATAAATTACCTGAATTTATATCTTCATCAATTTGGTTTGAAAATTGATGGTTGGGCTTGTTTAGAAGGATAAGGATAGTGGATTGTATTGTTGGTTGAGATTGTTTATTTAGTATATCTTTTATACACATTCATTAAGGGTTTGTTCAATCATAAAAGGGTTCATCAAGCTTATTTGACAAATTAATCAATTCATTGATAATTCTGGTAGGTAGGTTTTAAAACTATTATAGGTTTAAACGGGAAGTGTCAAAAACCTATTCACCACCTCCTTTTAGGTTGTGCAATTGTACTTCCACTTGTATAATCGTGACAGGAAGATCCAAGTACACTTTTCCCTCTAATCTCCTATAGTTTGTTACCTTTGCTTTTACACTGATAGCTGCTACCTCTACTTTTACATATATATAGTCGTTCTTAATCATATCCTTTCTTATTTTACTACATCCAACTTAATATTCTCATTTCTGCTACATTTAATACAGAGAGAGTTTGATGGAGATAGAGTGAAATCTGACATTGAAGATAGAGTAATAGCTTAAGGATCTGAGAGCTCCTTCGCAACGATTGACGATGTTAATGGCGACGACGATGTGTTCGTCGTTGGCATCGAGAGAAAGAGAGATGACAGAGTGGGCTGGAAGAGGGAAGGGGACCTTTTATACTCAAGTAAGAAAATCTATTTTTTGTTGTTAAGATGAATCAAAACCAAGATCTTATTTAATTCCCTTTTAACCATGCGTTTGTTTTTTTCTTTGGATGTTTTCAAAGACATTCTTCTAGATGTTTCCATATTTTAGCCTTATTTTTAAAATAGAGCAATTAAGAAAAATGAAAAAAAAAAATAAGATTACCAAAAGCTACCTAAAATAATAAATTAGAATACTAGATTAACTCTAAATAACATTACTCAATTTTCGGATATCCCGGAACACGACGGTAAGCCGGGCCTTTTTCACTTCTGTCCAAATTTTGACGACGTCAACATTTCTGTCAAGCCATTTGGGGCCATAATTTAGCCCAGGTGTTAGAAAATCTAGGCTGGGTTGAGGGTCGGGCGGCCCGGTCCGAAAGGATTTTTCCGATTCACCTCATGACTGTATTCTCTTTGCAGCTTAGAGATGGGGGGAGACATGGACTGACCAGAAAGAGGGAGAAACGAAGCCACTCTTTTTGTCTCCGAAGCAATAAGGATTCAACCTTTGAACTCTCTCTTTGATTCTCTCCGCGATCCGACGGCCACGATTCTGTCGCAGGTTGTGAGTGATGCAGCAGCCAGATCAGACGGTTCAGATGAGGTCGAGAACAGGAGGCATTGCTGGAACGCGAGAAAAGAGAGTTGCTTTCAGCCTCAGTTGCAGCAGCTCAATTTCTACTTCATCTGATGAGCTTCCTCTTCGCCCCCATGGCTATGGTGTTTTCGAGGTCCGTTAGCATAAAACCCTAATTTCAGATCGTTGCGTTTGACGAAGATTTAGCCTTATCTTTTTTTACGCCCGCTTTTCCTTTTCTGGGGTTTGTTTTGTTTTTCAAATTTTCCATGCTTTTTTTGTTTTCTTCTGTTTTGAGTATTTTCAATGTTGTTTGCGCCCAGTCATTTTCTCTTATCTAATTCTTTTTTCTGTTAAGGTTGATCCGAGATTTCTGGTAAAAATGGTCGTCTTCATTTTAGTTCTACGTGATACCTATTCGTAGCTTGTTTCTTTTCGTGTATGTAGCTTGTTTCTTTTAGTGTATCAACATTTATCTAAGCAAATTGAATTCCCAACTTATAACTTACACCCAAAACCTTGATGTTTATATGTGTAACACATAGCCCTATCTCCCGTATCTGTTAAGGAAGCCGTTAAAAATTCGTAATGACATCATAACATATAAAAATAATTTAACAAACTAGCCTTTATATGTCCCACTATCAGTTGGTTTGTCTGACCTCTGACCAAACTAACATTCACAACACTAATTTTTTTGCCATTGGAGTATTGTCTATATAAAGATTAATGCTGCCATATTAGAAGCCACACTCTTCACATATCAAAGAGAAATTCTGTAACAATGAGTGTTTTATATTTTTATTCGCCATCAATTTGTTAACAAACAATGAAATAAGGAAACAAAAAAAAGGGGATGGAACAGAACAGATAATTAAAAAAAAAAAAAAAACCCCAATGTACAAGAATCCTAATCAGATTCGATGTTTCAGAAAAAAATAAAACCTTGGGTACCAAAACTTGTCCTGCCACACCATATATTTGGATTAACACCAATAATCAAATGAGTTATTTTCTTAAAGTCTAAAAAAAATATTTTTTAGCATAGACTAGTGAATTTTTAACAGCTACCTTAACGGAGACTGACGATAGGGATTATGTGTTACACGCATACAAATCTCAGGGTCTACTGAAATAAGTCAAATATGAGGGAATGTAGATGATTAAGTTTTGGGTGTAATTTACCTTAAAAACATTGAATTCTCAACTTATAAAAACACAACAACGGTCAAGATTGATTCAATTTTTATCTATTTTGATCCAATGACACACAATTTATCCCCAAATTTGTTTTTCTGGCTCCAATTTTATAACTCAACCAACACACTGCTCAGTACCAAACAGTCTCATTAATGCACACCTACCTCTCTCATGTTTTCTTTGTGTTCATTTTAATTTAAAATTACGTAATTACAAAAAACAAAAAAAATAAATTATTATTTAAAATATAAATTTTGTAAGATCAATACTCAATATTTGGTATTTCAGAGTGTCTCTGCATGAAATACCTTATTCTTGACACGATCTCCAATGTCAGACAACTCAACAACCACACTTTTTAATACCAGACAATCTCATTAATCTACCCCTAGCTTTCTAATTTTTTCTATATTCACTTTAATTTAAAATTGTGTAATTACAAAAAAAGAAAAGAATAAATTATTATGTAAAATATAAATCTTGCAAGATCAATGCTCGATATTTGGTATTATAGAGTGTCTTCAGGCACGGAGTTATTGCTAAGATAGCTAGCATTTTGAATTTTATCTCCACATTTTTTTTCGTCAATTTCTATCACATTACTCATTACTATTATAAGTTGAATTATTTAAAAATAATTGTTATTTGATATAGTGAGATTAATTTTTTTAGCGCTCGAATTTTATGTTGTATCGTGCTTTCAAGCATGGGTTATAGCTAGTATTATAATAATTGTACCCTTTAGTTTAGCAAGTGAAAACAAATTAGGCTTACTTACTTAATGGTCATCTTTGTGCCATAGATGGACAAAAACTATGGTTTTAGGAGTAATACAGCATTTCAGGCCGTAGAAATTGGATTAATTAAGATAGAAATTAAGATCGAGGATGATTGAGTCATTTAGCAATTTAACAACATTTGGGCCCACTTATTTAGATAGCCATTTTTGTGCTAGGCATGTGGAAAGTTTGGGTTTTTGGAGTGATTTGGCATTTAAGTGATTGAAGATTTAGGGATAGGTGAGTAAACTACCCGATATGTTTGTGATGGACATCCAAGTAAATTACGTGATAAATGCACAAAATCCACCATTAAATGGGGAGAGTACTTTTGGTGTTTGGTTAAACTTAGTTCTTAAAGTCAAGACTTGACAAAGACAAAGGTAAACTTTCCAAGAGGGCCCCTAATCAACCACGTGAGAATCCCTTCCATTGTCATGATCTAAGAAGCACGAAGACGGACATGGATACAATATGACACATACATGCCGACACAAAATTTTTCAAAAAAGTAAGACACGGGGACGTTAGGAATATGTTAAATAATATGTAATTTATATATATATATATTATATAAAATCATGTGATAAAATAAAAATATTATTATAATAATATTTTAATTCATCATTTTCCTAATTCTAAAAATTCAAATCATGATATTACTGCATAAAAAGTA